CTCGTCCTTCACATTCCTGGACCTTCAAAACCAAACACATTAGAGTCTATGCCGCTCCCTCAAAGTATTCAAGAAGACTTGTTCGTTCATCTGAGATGCGGCCTAGCGCAACATAGCAAGCCAGAGATGGATGTGGTGCGGAAGTTGGCTTGGCCGCGTCGGTCGAAGCATTTTAGATTCTGGCTTTTTCTGGGCCGACAAGCGGTCTTCCTGTCAATTTTGGTTCGCTCGGTACATTTAAATATTTTCGCCTTGACGAGGTATTGACATCGTCTTCGTCGTCATCGTCACCTGTAGTGATTGAACTCGTCGTGGTCGTGCTTGTGCTGCTGCCGGTGGGGTGCTGCTGCTAATTCTGCTACTGCTGCTGCTGTTGCTGCACAGGAGGACCTCGCTGTGCGTGCGCAGCGTGGTGCAGAGCGTGTCCGGAACTTGGAAGCGTGTAGAGTTGGACTTAGACTCGAGGGTTCAGGTGTATTTGTGTGTGTGTGTGTCTGTGTGTCTGTGTGTCTGTGTGTCTGTCTGTGTGTGTGTGTTTGTGTGTGTGTGTGTGAGTGTAGGTGTGTGTATGTGTGTGTGTGTGTGTCTGCGTATGTGTTTGTGTGTGTGTGTGTGTGTCTGCGTATGTGTTTGTGTGTGTGTGTGTGCGTTCGTTCATATGTGCAAACATACATGTGAACCCAAACACATGCTTGGTTCGATGTGGTGCTACTTGAAAGGCCCTTGTGCATTCTACATCGTATTGTTTGCCCAACCTGTCTCGTTCCAGGGGTGTAGGATGCGTGGTCGGTCTTCGGCAGGCGTCACCATCGTGCCTCGGCGTGTTGGCATGTGTGTGTCTGGGATTGCTGCAACTCAGGCCTTTGACCTCACTCCACCTTGCACCTGAACCCAAACCGCTACGCAAAGCTGTGGATTCGACCCAAGTCCATAACCTGCTCAAATCCGTGAAGCCGCGACCCGAAACCCAAAGCCCCAAAGCGCCCAAGGCTGTGGCAGAGATGTTTGAGAAGAAGGCAGCCGAGGCACTTGCGGCCATGCACGAGGCGACTCTGGGAGCAGTCTGCATTGCGACATGGGTGGTTGTCAAAATTATGGTCCCATTTTTGGGTACCCTATAAATATTAAGTGTCGTATTAGAAAAGGGACCCTAAAAGGTATCCTAATATTGAGAACCCGCATAATAGACTTGTTTTCAACTGTGGGTTCCTTCAAGGGCTCCTTCAAGGGGCTCCTGAGGGGTTTGTTGCGGGCTTGCTAAGAGGGGTCGGAATAATTACCAATACTGTATCCTTTAAGGCTCCGTATAGCACGCAACTCAACAAGTATAGTATAACATACGGCGAAGCCCTATTCAAGTGTTCATGCGCCTATATGGAGTGATTTCGACAACTACGGGTCTTTTATAAAGAGCCTTAAGTATAGAGGAATTTAGGGTTCTACATCGTCTCTATTGTTTAACTTCCATGTTAGTACTGGATGGTGCTCAGGATTCTGAGCACAAATCCGGGCTGAGGCTTCGTGTCATTGCAGGCCTATGGCCGCACACTCCAACCGCTAAACATCCCAAACATAACCCAAGACCCCAAACCACCAAAAAGCCTGCACTAAAGCCCAGACAGTCCTCCGATATCCAAGACCGGGCCCTACACTCCATGTGCAAGGGGGCTTTCGGAACCGTTGAGGTTTTGGAAAGCAGCGAGATCCCGAAATTCACAGAAGTTCTTTCCCTGTAGCTACATAGAAGACATCAATCACGGATCGCGGCTAAGTCTTCCTTTGGCTGCTGCAGGACACATCGAATGCGGAGAAGCTCGAGAAAACCGCCAGGCACGGGTAGCAGAGATCTTAGGGTCTTTGGTGCTTTCAGAGTCTGCAAAATGCATGAGACCGAAGCAAAAGTCTATCCAGACGATCGTGATATGGATTGAAGGCATACGTTTTCCTTCAAAGCCGGCATATTACGTAGTATTAACGTATCCTCAGGGTCGGGCTAGGAAAGCAAAGATCAAGCAAACCAAAGCGGAGTAGATAGAGAGGGATGTGAACTTGCGCTTAATTAATCAACTCCTGTCCGTTCAACGCGACTTCTGTCAGCGTCCTGGAACCATCTGGTGGCTGCAGAATTGCAAGAATCAGTTGCCTTTGCATTGTTCATTCAATCCTGCGGAATGTAAATAGGGTTGCGATGCATGGCTTCCGAAAAAGTTCGGCTCGGGGACTTGAAGATGATGGTGCTTGTCTGTTCTCCGACGCTTTTGATGCTCACGACGAGACAAGCACATATGTGTTAAGCCCTACATACTTCCGCGAGCTAGCACTCTACGAAGCTGGAAATTTGACCCCGAGAGCCCCGCTCCGCAAGAAGTTCGACTAGGATGTTTCCCGGTATTTCTCTCGATCTTTCCCTTGAAAGGACTCTCCGCGGGCAAGCGCGACAGCTTGAGATGCAGGCCGCGAAGCGCAGAAGTTGTGTTAGCTCCGAGTTTGGCAAGGAGTCATGGAGTCTTTTCACAATCATCATCATGCACATCATGCTCAACAGCAGGCATCATTATGTCAATCTCCCTGTCACCACATGGTCCTCATTATCGTTGCCGACACTGTGGACAAAAACCAGCAGCATTGTTGTGATAATCCCTGCCCTTCTAGGTGCCGTCGACACGCTGAACCCAACAAAAACAACTAGCCACGACGATAATGCAATGTATATACAGCCCTTCAGTGAAGGGTGTAGCCCTCTAGTTAAAGTACAACCGCAGTCATCTCAGGTTGGCTGTCAGTGCTTTTATCAATTGACAGAGATGTGGCTCTGCATGGATTGTGGAACTGCGTATTAGAAGCTGAAGTAGTTCTGTAGCAGCCCATGGTAAACATGTTACATGCCAACCTAACAGTGCATGCATGCGTGTATACATACATACGTAGAAGTACACACGTACATACTTGTAGTACATACAGACACACACACAGAGACAGACAGATAGACACACACACGTATATATATATATATATATATACACACACACACAGACGGACGGACTGACAGACAGCCAGACAGAGAAACAAGACAGAGAGACAGAGAGACAGAGTCAGACAGACAGACAGACAGACAGACAGACAGACAGACAGACAGACAGACAGACAGACAGACAGACAGACAGAGAGAGAGAGAGCTGAGACAGACAGAGAGAGACAAAAAAAGAGAGACAGAGAGAGACAGACAGAGAGCGACAGCCAGCGAGAGACAGCCAGAGAGAGACAGCCGGACAGACAGACAGACAGACAGAGAGACAGAGAGAGACACATAGACACACAGACGCAAAGAGACATAGACGCAGAGACACACAGACACAGAGACAGATAGAGACGGGCAGAGACAGACTGACAGAGATAGACAGATAGACAGACAGATAGACAGATGGACAGATAGATGATGTGCATTATTGTTAACTACAGCGCTGGAAGCAGTAGCCACAGCTGTCTTGGACACTGCAGACAATGAGGCAGAAGTTGTGCACGACATGGGTCCGCATCTCCATCTGTCTGTCTATCTTCCCTCTCCCTCTCTCTCTCTCTCTCTCTCTATGTCCCTCGATCTATATCTCTATCTACCCACTCGTCTGAAGATGTCTTAAGATTTTGATAATTCGTCAGGGTCTGTCTCTATCTCTGTCTCCGTCGCTCGCTCTCTCTCTCTCTCTCTCTCTCTCTCTCTCTCTCTCTCTCTCTCTCGCACCATAATATGGTCATATATATATATATATATGCATAACTCTACATATCTACAGATACGCATTAGAGAACTTGCTTTTCAGCAGCAGCGAGCAAGTTAACAGTCAATGACGGGTTGCTTGGTTGTTTACAAGCGCTTCTGACACTATCGCTGTTTACACTGGAAAGCTTACAGTGAAGCAGGCTTGAACCTTATTGCATTGCGTGAACGCTTTCACTACCCAGTCGCAGCAAACGGGATCATCAATATCAGCAGCCGAACCGGGAGCCCGCACGCATGGACGGTAACGTCTCTCGTTTTGGAGCCTTAGTCCTGAAAAGGCCCGATAAACGAGATCTTACACAACCCCCCAAGTCCTTCAATCCTCAAACGAAGCCCGAGGCTTCCCAAGAGCTTATTATGTAATCCCTACACCACACGAAACAGGCAAATGGCAAAGCTAAACCCACGTGCCATCAGGTCACGTCCAAAGTCGCCTGGGGCCCGGTGAGCTGTTTTTGTTCATGGATTTTCATGTTCAGCTCTTAGGAGTTTGAAAGGTGATGCTTGTAGATTGCGGAATGCCGGGGACGCTGATACAGACCCCTCATAAGAGATCACGACCCTGGATGTAAGCATCCCGCAAAGGACCCTTGCCTAAAGAAAGCCGGGTATTGCTTGTCCGCTTCAGGCAGAGGCGGCCAAGGTGGCCACGGACTCCGTCGTGTCAAAGGCGCTTCGCCAGGCCATAGACAGTCAAATCATGCCCTCCCAGATCCAGCGAGAGTCAGCAGTTGCCCCTTTGCGCGATGACTAAGCATGTTGATGGCTTCAACAAAAGTCAGAATCTCCACAAGTGAGCCACCACCACAGCCACCACTACCGCCCGCGCAAGAACCTGTCGGAAGCATTGTTACATCCGCATCATCAACCAGCAGACCGATATTTATCGACAACACAGCGGAGAAAGTGACGATTGCCGGGACGACCTAGCATTCAGTAGCATAATTCAGTATAATGTTGGTAATACTCAATGCTACTTGCAGTTCGCCGAGGATGTTGAAACGGATTCAAGTCTTGAATCGAGACCGAGCCTTGTAGATCGTAGGTCTGGAGCCTTGCGAAGCCTGAGCCGAATCCACAGACCACAGCAATCGACGTTTACAAGCACGCCTGCCACAAACCATTCTCGAGTCAAACAATTCCTGCCTGTTGCCCTGCACCCTGAAGTGCGAACTCGTCGGCCCTTTGGCTCCAGCACTCCTGTGCATCCGGGATGCCAGCCATGGTGCGCACACTCGCGCTCGGTGCAGCTGCCGCAGCGGCCGCGCGGGAAGAATTCGGGTTGATGAAAATCGGACTTTTGGAATGGCGAGATGGAGTAAACCGCAGGATGAACAATGGATTACAGCACGCCATGTTGCCTTTAGGCCACATCATGCATTAATCCACCACAGAAGCCCGTTCGTTCGGGAGAGTTTGGGCCGCAAGCCCTCACAAAGCCCTCCCCGAAACCCGACTGATCCTGTCATTTCTTTAAAAGCCGGAAGCCTCTGAGCACACATTCCTGCGAGTCGTACCTTAGCACGAAGCCTATGTCATACCTGCTATCTCAACAAGTATTGTTACTGCTGTTATGGTTACTGCTATTGCTAGTATTGCTCGTATTGGCTATCCATTGTGTTGTTGGCATTATTTGGATGGTTTTAAATGTTAGTACTATTGCATCTGTTACCATCAATGAGAATTACCATGTTTGATGCCCTTGGGTCTAGTACTACGATTGCTACTAGTGACAAAATCATGACTGCCAAACAATGAATTTCTTGAGTGTTTTTGCTAGTGGTACTAATTTGTTCCATTCGTAAAATCGACTAACATTATTGTAATTGCTATCGTTGCTATGAGTATGACTACTATGAGCATAATGTCATTACTTTGATTACTTTCACATTATTACTAGTAATACTGTGAACAAATATCACCACTGTTATTACTATGATTACTGCTGCTGTGATTCACTTACTGTATTTCTTTACTCCTATTACTATACGAAGATATTGGTGCCATTGCTAGTGTCACAAAGAAGCGAACAAGGCATTTGCTGCGGCTCCTCTCTTCACTTCTCCGCTTCCGGTGCACAGCGAGGAGTCATTTAATGATCTATACTAGTAGGGCAAATGTCGGTAGGGGTTACAACGTCTAGGTACGAAGGTGGTGGACGTCTTCAGGTTTGGAAAGATTGTTGGCGCTCGAATCGCTCAGCAGCCTCGGTTATTACAAGTCTGTTTGAGGCTGAGTGGCGGAGTTCGAAGCAGGTTCTAGAAAATAGCACCTTCTCTATCGTCTCTCAAGCACCTGGGCATTGTTATTGCCGACAAGCACAAACTCTGTTCCAGTTCTCGTAAGGCCAAAGCTGGCCGCTCAGCGATAGTTGCTGGAACTATCGTAGTGTAGTCCAAGTACAATGTTGCATCCGCCCCAGGTCTTACGATATCCACACAGAAACCCCATCTCATTCCAAGCTTCCTGGAGGTTCATCTCACCCTATGCTTACTTGACTCCGAACCCCCATACATAGCCTTAACTGCAGACCAACGCTACCGTGGCCAACCCTAACCTCCCTTCCTTTTGCCCATTGCTATGTGAACCCTATAAACCTTAAAATGCAAGCCACAGCCCTCTGAACCCAAAGTGTCAGGCCCTGCGGCGCTTGGACAGCAGGCCAGCTGCAAATCTGCGCCGAGGCCCCCAAGAAACAGATGGACTTTTGTCGAGCATTGAAGGCTTAGGTTTTGAGAGTTTAGGGCTCGTGGTTTTGAGTGCTTTTGGGGGTTTAGCTTGTCGGGTTTTGGGGTCCTGGACTTCTCAAATCTACTGCGAGGATGTTGGTTCTCAGTGTTAAGGATTAGGAGTTTCCGAGGGGTGAAGAGCTGTGGTTTTGGAGTTGACTTCGGCGCATAGCCGATTTGCAACACTTTTGGGGTCTATAGCCTTTCCGTCTTTATAGGTCCAGGGCTAGACTCTTGGACTCTTGAAGAGAGTTCGAGAGTTTGTACAATACAGTACATCAAGGGCCTATCTTGTGGATAGGATTAGTCGGTTTCTTTACATCCTAAACTACAGTTTACAAACTACTTACGACGTTCGCACATTCTAAATAGCCCATAGTTGCCGTATAACAGTCTCTGATAGTCGCGTTGCAAAACCCTAATAGAGCCCCTCGCTAGCTTCGATTTAAGTCCTTTGTTCCCTTGAGTAGATGTGGGACCTTCTGAACTTGATGAGCACCGCCACCGTAGCAGTCATCACCAGCAGCAGCAGCAGCAGCAGAATCGAGAGCATGTAGCCGCAAAGCCCTACCAGAGCCCGAAAGAAGAGCAGGGCGTATCCAACTCATCCAGCGGAGCGCGGGTGGCGTCCGAACGGCACCGGCCGTCAAAGGAAAGCGCTTTGCCTGCAAAGAGAGCCTACCTACGGACCTGCGGCTCCAATGATTGGGTCGTCACTTTACGTCCCGTAAGGTGTGGAACTACTTCAAGCTCTCAAACACCTTAAACTTCGAACCCTAAACCACGACACACCCAACACCTCCGCACCCTAAGGTTTTGAATCGGTTGGAATCAGAAGCACAGGGGACATGGCGAGGGGATTCCTGGCAATGTGTCACCGCAAATGTCCCATTGCTTGGATGGTCCAGTGTGTCGGGCTTTTTTACGGCTGCCCTGGCCTGAAGCCTAAACCCGAAAGTCTAAGGATTTAGGGCCTTGAACATGTGCCGATGCTTTGACGATTTTGGGTTTGATTTCGTCATCCTGATTTTATTGGACCCTGCTCTATCTTCTTGGCTGGATCGTGCTTGATGCACAGTTGCTGAATTTCGCAGTGCACCCTGAACTGAACGCTTTTGCACCGGAATCCATCAACCCCCCTGACCAAAACGAAAACAACATGAGCCCACGGCCCTAAAAATGCTCTATCAACCCTGCAAGATGCGGTGTTTCAGAAGGGAGAAGGGATTAGATGCTCTTCTTACAGTCGTCTAGAAAGCTCATGGAGATCTCGTGGAGACCTATGGAGCTGCATCATAAGATTGCAAAATATGTATATAGATAGATATAATATATATATATATATATATATATATGTATATGTATGTATGTATGTATACTTACATGTACATGCGTTCATGAGTGTAAGCATTTATGTGTATAGATAGGTGTATATATACACACATTTGCATACACATCTATGTGTGTGCATGGTTCTCGACATCTATATCCATATCTAAAACCATGTCTATGCCTGTATCTATATCTTACCATACCAGTACATATACCTATAACTATAATGTCTGTATCTGTCCAGCTGCATGTATGTACGTATGTATGCATGTATGGATGTATGGATGGATCTACGTATGTGTATATGTGGGCATATGCATATGTGTATGTACACGCCTAGTATATGCATATATGATTCATGTATACGTGCATGTATACCTAAAGTATACATATACGGATGCCTATGAACAAATGTATGTATGTAGGTATGTATCAATACTTGTGTGTGTGTATATATATATATATATATAAACGTATGGATGGGTTTATGCATGTCTCTCTGTGTGCGTATGTACATATATGTGTACATATGTGGAGATAAGGAGAGACGCTTTAGTTTGCAAGCTTGGGAGTGTTAAGCTCGGTTTTTGTTAAGGGGTGAGACTTGTCGGGGCTTGGTTCAGGCTTTGGGGCTTTTAAGAGCCCTTGCGCAAGCCATGCCCAGCGGACCGAAATTGAGGTTTCCTACTCTGCGCGGGTTGGACATTTCGTCAGGGCTTTCGGAAAGTCGCAGAATAACGCACGGGAAGCAGACAAAAGAACAGTTGGACTGTTTGCATTGTGGGATAGCATTGGGCCATCCCAGCAAGCCTCAATTTTCAGGTGGAGGCAGCGCGTGGCTGCCGCCGTTATATCCGCAGCTGCTGGGATTGCAACACATAGTCTTGGTCAACGGCCTTGAGGTTCAGCTGAAGAGAAGTCGGCTTCTTTTCTCTCGTTGCAGCGTCGTGTTTCAGCGCAATATTGGATGCCTGGATTGTTAAGCTTGAGGCTCAAGTTGTTCGGGTTTCAGCTTGGGCTTTGTTGCTTCTAGGTTGAGGATTGAATGCTCTGTGGACGTCCTTTAGTTTCCTGCCGGCAGGTCTTGGGATTGAGGATGTTGCATTGCTTATACAGGACTAAGTAATATCGTGCCAGGCTGTCAGGCTTACGGTGTGGGCCCTGGGCCGTGAATGTTTTGGTTCAGGGTGTGCGACGTGAGCCTGAAGCACCAAAGCTACCAAATCATAAACCTAGGCGGCTGTTTGGCATGCGCCATTTGTGTTGTCCCTAGTGTGCAGTGGTGGTCAAGGACGAGATTGAAAGGTTTAGCGTCGCGCCTTGAGTAGTAGTAGGACAGAATGTAGCTTGAATATGGGGCTTGGCGTACCAGCAGCGGTCACTTCTGGCTTGGCCTTTGTGCTTCTCTGGGCTCTTGGTTTAGTTGCGCCATTTCAATGATGGCGAGGCATTGATTTTGTTGATAATCGTTGCTGTTCTGATCATCACGATGATGGTCATGACGACCGTCGTCAACATGTATCGCCAACATTATCGTGACGTTTTTGTTCAGTGGTGACTCCGAAGGTCATGGGTTCCTTCATGAGGGAGACGACGAGGGGGTGATCTAGATTGTAGATTGCCACTTCGTAATCCATACACAGTGGCAAAACCCCAGACAGTAGATGTTGCAACACGCGATTCGGCAGTCTCAACAACAATATCCATATCCAATCAATAAGGTGCTATGTCTGTTATTCTCCTTCAAAGGCCTATGCCCACATGAGCTCTTCTTTCTGTTGCTTCACAGCTCATGTTTCTCGGGAGGTACCAGAGACCAGAAACTGGCTCTGAAACAAAGCCCGGCCCCCCCAAACTCAAAATCCAGTCGGTTCAGAGTCAGAGTCCAGGGAAGACAGGTTGATACAAGTTGGCAGGCTTTATGGTGAGAGTTCTACGATGAATGCTATAAGAGCCATGGTAAGGCAAGCCTTAAGGGTTTAGGCGTGTTACTTCAATTCAAGTTCCAAGATCAAGAGAGGAAGTCTCAAGCCTTGAGCTCCTAAGCACTGTGCGGCCGGAGGCAGGGGTGCTTTTGTGGCCGCAGGGCGCATGGGCTCGGGTGGCCAAAAGGCCGGGACGGGGCTCTGCGTCTGCGAATTGGCGGTTTCCAGCGATTCCGTTTCGAAGATCCTCAAAGCAATCATCCTGTTGTTAAGTATCTTGATTTACGGGCTAATTGACACGAAACAGCCTTGGGGGTTTCAAGTTGGTTTGTCCTTGAGGAGCTTTCAGCCATAAGTCTCGGTAACATGGGAGTTGGTTACCATGACTAAGTCAAATCCATGTTCGATTTAATTCCAAGCCAGTATTTCCATTCTGCAGAAATCTGAGGGAACATTATGAGTACGTGCGTCATGCCGCTGCATCCCTGCTTTTCCACCACGCTATCGACACCATGATCGGTGCGCTTGTTGATGTGCCTGTTTATATCTGTTTATGTATTCAGGTTGGCAGGGTGTTCAGACGCCAACCGAGGCACTTCTGCATTTGCGGCGTGACCCGTGGGACCCATGAATGGTTCAGGCAGCGCCAGATAACAAAAAAGGGCTGTCGGGAGGAGGGGAGGAAGGGGAAAGTGATAGTGGTTGGAAGTCCCTTCGAATCATACGGAATCATACGTGCATATACAAGCATACACCTACATGCATAGATACATAGACACGTGCATGCATCTGCACGTGCATACTCGCATACGACACAGACCGAAGGACGGACGGACTGACAGACAGACAGCCGTACTTCCATACTTGCATACACACAACCACGCTTGCATACCTGTGCGCAGAAACGCGAGCACACACACACACACACACACACACCGGTCCGCGCGCGCGCGAAGCCAGCAATTGTGCAGGGTTGTCAGCCGAGCTGATGAGCGCCGGGCGGGCCTTTACACAGCTTCTCGTCTTCTCGTCTGGTCTTTAGGGTTCAGGTCTTGGACATTCATTAGGATTGACAGTAAGATGTCGAGGACGAAAAACGGATACAATATTGTGAGCAAGCGGGCCTTTCAAGCCAAGTTTGATTTTGTTTCAGGGTCACTGCACGGTTTCTTATAGAGGCATCTCTACGAGTTCAGGGCTCCAGAGCGAGGAGTCTTCAGCCTCACTTTCTGGTAAACGCAAACCGGCCGTCGGTTCAAAGTGCCGAAGCAAGATCATGCAGATTCTTCAGACTGCATAATCCTAAGCAGTGTAAGCCCTGAGCCCAAGACGTCGCCATTCGGAATTTCGGAATTCGGAAGTGCACTATGTCCTGCGCTGTCAGAATCTTTAAGCTTTGGATTTTCGGATGCGTGAGCTTGATGACCCGTCCCAGAAGCCACCATGCTTAGCCTTAGACTCCAGGCCTTTAGAGGAGTTGGAAGTCTAGGGTTTGTAGTGTCGTCGATATTCATGACAAGGTTCGGGAGAGTGTCGAATGGCGTCGGTGTTCGAGTGCAGCTTTCCCCCCTGAAAGCTTCATGGAGGCGTTGACGATCGTGTTCTTCTTTGTCGTAGCTTATTTCAACAGCAGGCACCTCGGCGGAAGGGCCAGAATCCCGGGGGGCCCCTGGCTTTGGTCTACCGTAAAGCCCTCGGTGGAGCTTGAGACTGGTCGGATCTGGAGTTCTTGAAGCCCTCGGTGGATCCGAAGCCCTCAAGGTTGAATGTAGAGCCATCTCTCCTTACGGATCCCTTTTGTGTTTAAACTGGATTTTTTTTCCTACAGCCCATTCAGCCCGTGGGTTTTTCAGGGTTTGCGGAAGCGGTCATGGCAGTTTCCCGCTGTTCGGACCCCGAACCAGCATGTAGACGTTGTAAACTTGTAAATACACCCAACTTCTACACGCACAACTCCTCAAACCCCTACATCAACTGGCTCCGATCCTCTGAAAAATCACTTTGCTCACATGTTTTCAACCAGCCGATCTTCCCAACCCCACAAGAAGCCCAACTAGTGGTTTTGGCATGAGGCTGCTTTAAGACTTGATGCTTTGCAATCGGTGCTTCAGAGCTTCGGGCTCTGCGCTCGTAGCGCTTGCGGTTTCAGCAGAGGTATGTCGGATTGATCGTTGCAGGGTTGGGCATCCGGTCATGTGTCGGCCGGTACTTATGCTACAATATACCATAGCATACGGCTCCATGATGTAAAAACCAGGACTATACTGACTGCCGCGAGTTCAGCATGGCAAGCCCTTAATTTTGGATTGTTGCTTGAGGCTGTTGAACCATGCCTTCTCGATCTTCTGCAGGCAAACCCCAAATCCAAAGCCCTAAAGCTGTGGACTTCTGCGCAAAACCCCCCGGGCCTAATACCCTAAGCTTCGTAAACCCCAAACCAAGTCTGCA